TCCTGTCATTAGTCAAAATGTCCACATGTTTCACACTGAAGGCCCTCGAGGAGGTCATTCTGTCTGTGACACACACAGATGTTTACTTCAGACCTGGTACTGACGACGATGGTTCAGTCCTGATGAAGCGTTTCCTCTCTTTTCATTGTTTTCTTTCCTGGAGACTTTGTGATCTTTGATTGACCTCAGTCCAATATTCAACTTTGTGATATCTGTGAAAAACATTGTTTATTAGTAGTAGTACTACCCTGTAGTAGTACTACCCTTTGATAAAAGATGATCATGGTTTTGGTTGAAAGAGTAAGAATGTGTTCTTTACTCTGACAGCAGGTGAAGGTGACTGAGAGGTTCATTCGACGGCTGGAGTTCCACCTCAGTAAGGTACGACTCCTGAACGTCCGTCTCCTCGTTGATATTGTTGTGACCCTGTGTTTGAGCACCACCGTTGTAACAAGCATCTTCATAACAGATCGAGGAGCTCTACGAAGCCTACTGCCTGCAGAGGAGGCTCCGGGACGGAGCCGACAAAATGGTGAAGGCGTACACTACCTCCTCCGTCAGCAAGGAGGCGAAAGAGAGTTTGGTAGAAGCCAACAAGGGCTACAAGGAGTACACAGAGGTGAGACAGTGGAGTCAGAGGTAACATGGTCAGTAATGGTTAACGGTTAACGGTTAACTAATGAATGTAGTGTCTGTCCATCCATCTCCTGTGTAGAACATGTGTGTGATGGAGAACGATCTGGAGAACCAACTGGGAGAGTTTCACATCAAGATGAAAGGTACGAATGACACCTAAACATCAGGGTCAACCACAGGTCAACCACAGGTCAACAGGTCAACCACACTAATGAGTCCTCATTTAAAGATTTTCCTCTATTTGTTTCAGTAAATTTTGATTTACTTTTATTAGGAAGCCCAACTAGTATTAGTCAGATTAATATAATGTAACCCCCCCGTCCCCCGCCCCCATGGTTGGACATAGAGCAGCTGGTGTGAAGTCCATCCTCCAAAACAAATATCTTTCTTAATGACAACATCTCGTAGAGAGTTATTAAGACCTAAGTGGAGGCGGTGGAAGGACAAACCTGTGTTGATCTTTTTCATATCTATCACATATCTGTTTGACTGACCCTGGTGTATCTTTGAACCTGTTTGGACTCAGTTGGTCACAGACTGAACATCTGTTTGGGTTTCAGGTCTGGCTGGATTTGCCAGGTTATGTTCCGGTGACCAGTATGAGGTGAGGCCTTCTCCACGTACACACTTTTCTGACTTTCCTTATATCATATTCAATGTGCTTTGTTATCGTACATCATTTTGGAGAATGTGGTTTAACTTTGGTGTTTGGTTTCTTGTCAGATCTTTATGAGGTATGGTCGACAGCGATGGCGGCTTCGGGGCAGAATAGAGACCAATGGGAAGCAGGTGTGGGACAGTGAGGACATGGTGTTTCTGCCCCTCATCAATGAGTTCCTCTCAGTGAAGGTCAGTCTCATCCTGCTCATTTTTTATTGAAAACCTGTGAATCTGGAGGAAAAGCAGCGTTGACTTTACTGCTCTAGAACACGGCCTGTATTTAAAGCTAAGTGGCTAATTCCCAACCCTGCTAGCCAGTGCACTCTGACCTCCATTATACCGTTATTAAAAACCAAAGGAACATCCTGTGACTGACGTAGATTCAACTTAGTTGATGAGTATCTGATAGAGGGATATAACTAGGCATAAAATGACAAAAAAAAAACATTTTTTTAATAATTACTAATGATTTTTTTTTTTTTTTTTGCTGCTATAATCTTCCTTAATTTTTCTTCTATAACAGCGTTTCTAACAGTCAGTGTGCCTTGATGAGGTTGTTTTTTCTTCTAGGTGACAGAGTTGAAGAGCTTGGCCAATCACGTGGTTGTAGGAAGTGTTTCCTGTGAGACCAAGGACCTGTTCGCTGCTCTGCCCCAGTCGGTTGCCGTGGATATTAACGACCTCGGGACGATCAAACTGAGCCTGGAAGTCACCTGGAAGTGAGTGGGTGTGCAGCGTCACCTGCAGACGGTTCAGTGATTAACAGGACATTTCTTAATTATTAAACAACGTGTTTTCACCTGTCAGTCCGTTTGACAAAGATGACCAGGGCTCAGTGAGCAGCTCCGTCAACAAAGCCCCGACCGTCAGTAAGAGGTTCTCCACGATCTTCAACCAGAGTCCACCCGACACGCCGTCCCTGCGTGAACAAGCCTTTTATGTGAGTTCTGCACTGTTGTGTTTGCTCTGGCGCCATCATATGGAGGGCCAGAGCAAATATTTCATGCCCCATATTTAAAGATAAGATTTAACAGAAAAAAAGTCTAGAATGAAGGGAAGAAATCTCATATCATTGATTGTTTTTTTAATGGACGAAGGTTCAAAGACGGTCATTTCTAAACTTTTTTTTATTTGCGTTTAATGTTCTTTCTTTGATTCGAGGTTTCTAGGATATGATGTTGTTTTCTCTGATTCTTAAAACAACTAGTCTTTCTTTTTAGAACGAGCAGCTTGATGCTTGACGAAGGTGTAAAAGTCCACCTGGTCACTGCTGTTGGAGACTCTGACACTGACTCCTGCTCTGTCGTCTTGTTCTAGAACATGCTGCGGCGTCATGACGAGTTGGAGAACGGAGCAGCCTGGTCCAATTCATCAGAGTCGTCCGATGACTCGTCCAGTCCTCAGCTGTCAGCAGGAGGTCCACGGAGCTCCACGCCTCAAAAGGTGACAACAGCGGCCCCTGCAGTCTGACACTGGTTTTCTACCATGGAATAATAAGGGGTTCATTACCTTTCATGCTCTGATCTATGGTCTTTCTAAAAAAGACGTGTTTGTAGCTTCAACTTTCTAACACTAGGGTTCTTGTTTCACTTTTTTTTCCTTTGAAGTATCTCAGGAATATTGAATCTATGTTCTAAAAGGAGATTTCATGTTTGTAATTCTGTCAAATCTAGTCATTGGCTGGACTTGAGGGATTGTGGGATGAAGTGGCCCCCGGGCCAGGAGTTGGGCACCGTGACTCTCTGATACCTTGCTGTGGTGTTTTGATGATTCACTGTATTATTCCCTTTTTTCATATCCTAGCCAGTGATCGTGTCACCGGAGATTCAGCCCGCCTCCGTCACAGGAAGTCCCGCCTCACAGACGGACATTTCCTTCTGTCTCAGAAACTCGTCCTCCACGTTTTCCAAAGCTCAAAAATCCATTAGTGAGGTGTCCGTCCCAGACCAGGACCAAAGCCGGGGCTGCAGGTATGTTTACAGTCCAGATTTATAGGACATTTTGCTAAATTTATATTTTCTGCCGTAACGACCTCTGTGACCTTGACTACAGGGAAGGGGAAACGGCAGCGGGTCCTGACGACGAGACAGAGCCGACAGAGGAGGAGGTGAACGCGGTGGACCAGGTGGACCAGGTGGTGACCAACAGCCTCAATTGTCGCAGCTTCTCACGCTCTCTGAGCCACATCAGTGAACACAGCGCTGATGACGTTGTGTTGACGGACAGGTCAGCGGGCGAATCAGGAGAGGTCATGACCTCTGAGTTGTCAATCAACGGAACTGAGGAGCTGCTAAACAGAAGTCCTGGGATGGTGGGAAACACAAGCTGTACTACTGACCAAGCCAGCACTGACCTCACCCCCTCCCCCTCCTCCTCCCCCAGGACTGAAGAAATAAACTCAACACAAAACCACTCTGCCCCACATCTAAACTGCACCACAGTCCCACAGAGCGAAGACGAGACTTATGTAGCACGGCTGGTGTCCGTGGAGGAGGAGGCGGCACCAGGTGAGGCACCAGGTGGAGGTGCAGATGGTCCTGTGGACTGTGGTCTGGAGGAGGCCCTGGGAGCTGTAGTTTCCTCACTGGATGATTACAGAGGACAGTTCCCTGAGTTACAGGCCCTGGAGGAGGAGCTGAAGCTGCTGCAGGTCACGCTGAAGGTCACGCCGCAGGTGAGGACGGAGCTGAAGGTCAGGACGGAGCAAATAGGTTGGACAGGGACACAGGATTTTCTCCATAGATAGAAAACGTATCACGTTTGCCCCGACGTTACTTTCCCGTTGCTCGTCCAGGGTGTAGTTCTCCTCCTGACCTGCAGAATTGCGATAGAGCCGTTTGGCCGTCCCGCCCTCAGTGCATCGCCGGTTTTTAATATTTTAAATGTATTTTTGTATTGCAGATTTTTCGCTGTATCGTCGGTTTTTGCGGTGTATAATTTTCTAATATTTTCATTGTTTTTGTGATAAAGCATTTTCCAGCCTAAGAAAAAAAAAACCAAAAGTTCAAAGACCTTCAGTAACACCAGATCAGTGAACGTTAACATTTGGTTAAGTTTCTTACCATATTTCACACCCTAACCCTAACTAAGTTTCTTACCATATTTCACACCCTACGATGTAGGGTTCATAAAGGGTTAATATATACGTAGATAATGTAATAACTATCGTGTCTGTACTTTGAGGTTTTTGACCAATTGCCGGCGGTCTTGGAACAGAACCCCCGTGATAGACGAAGGACCAATGTCTTCATGGAAAGATTGGTCTGAGGGTTCAGTCCATGATGACATCACCACAGGCTAACCTGTGTGTGTGTGTGTGTGTGTGTGTGTGTGTGCACAGGGTGGTAAACACAGTCGTTCGCCCAGCCTCGTCAGCCTCACGGTGGAAACAGCACTGGGCAGCTTTGATTTCCTCAACGCGGCCGACTTTGAGGAGGACGAGGAGGAGAAGAGGAGCAGAAATGTCAGGTTGGTGATGAAGGACTGAAACCTGGTGAACTTTTCTGAGTCAATTCTGAAATAAAACACAATAAAAAAAAGCAATACACCACCGTTTATGACTTTAAATAAACTCCATCTGTGACTGCACTAGTAAAGAGGCGTTTGCTTGATTTTGCTGCCATCTAGTGGAGAGCTGTCGTACCTTTTGGCTGATGGAAAGCTCCACTACGACTAAACCGACTTAACCACATGTTCATCTACATTCACTAATGACTTCGGTGCTTTTCTTTTTTCCTCCTCTTTCTCATACTTGTATACAGGCCTCTGCAGAACAGCGCCACCTCTTTGACCACAGGCTGCACTACACTAGACCGCTGCCTCGTGGAGCACCTGAAGTACTGCAGCAGACAGTTGTTGGTGAGGGGAGGACACTCCGGCCTCACAGACACGACCATTGACACGGAACAACTTTTAGTTCCGTCTGTATCATTTCAAGGCCATGTCGATGCTAACTATGCTAATTTATCAAACGAAGAAAATATATAGACAAAAAACGACTAAACTCCGTGTCTGTCTCCGTGACCTGGATTTTTGCCACACTTTATTTAAGGTCAACGTGCTGTGTGTGTGTTATTTATGTCTTGGTGTGTGTAGCGGCTGGGGACGTTTGGTCCTCTTCGCTGCGGAGAGATGTTCGCCTTGGACAGACTGCTGAGAGAGGCACGAGTGCTGGAAGTCATCAGACGCCTCTCCAAGGACAACCCCAGACGCCTGCGACAACCAGCAGATGGTGCGTTTGAGCAGCCTTGTTTCTCACGCAATTAAAAGTGAAGTGAAAGCCAGAGGGAACGTTAAACGTTTGTCAAAAATATCAAAGAAGTTCAGCTTACACATTTATTAATATATATTTATATTCAAACAACGATGAACTGCTGGACATTAGCCTAGAAATAACTAAAGGTTAGTTCCAAAATAAATACAGATATTATTAAAATAACATGTAACATGTTTCACTGTAGCCAAAAGAAAAGAAACACATTTTATGAAACAAGTTGCTCCCAAACACTCATTGAAATGTTTACAAAAACAGTTTTGTCAAAACCTCTTCCTCTTCTCCTCCATCACAGTCGTGCCTCAGTTGAGCTTCTGTTCTGGAGCCGTGTCTTTATGGCATCAGTGTGTGGGACAGGACAGTGTGTACAGTGTCTCCGTGGACAGGCTCCTGAGGACACTGTCCACAGTCTACACCAGCAGACTACCAGAGAAGACCAGCAGCATGGCTGACTCAGGTACCAACTGTGCTGTGGGAGTTAGCATTCACTTGTGTGTGTGTGTGTGTTTCCCGTGGTTACACAGATGTGTCTGTGTGTGTTTGGTTAGTGTTCATGTGTCTGGTGGAGCGAGTGTTGGATCGGAGGCTCCCGCGGCGAGGAGGCAGCAGCAGGGATGTGGTGATGGTGACGCTGTTCCAGCTGTGGAGCTACGTGGAAGCTAATGGAGTCAGCGACTTAGAGACGCACGTCACCGAGCTAGCAGAAGAAGGTACACATAATCACCGAGAATGTTAGCCTTCGAAATTTGACCACAGCTAACCTGATGCTAACACCTCCTCCAGTTTGGTTCGTACAGAAGCTGGAGTCATGTGACCAGGATGTGATCGTCCAGACGCTGCGTCGTCCTGTGCAGTGCAGCCTGAAGAGAGAAGGACTTCACGCCGTGGCGAAGTTACTGAGAGACCCGCGAGGCAAAGTGTCGGCTTCTGCCAGCTCTGTACTGAGAAGTGTGGCCGCTCAGCCCCGCCAGAGAGAACAGGTCAGAATGTCAGAGTACGATTGGTCAACATGAACTTGTTAACTTCAGACCAGATGTTGACCTGGTGAATCATCTCCTCCTCAGGCGTTGGTCAGCTGCTTGGAGTTGCTGGAGGACAGCAGCCTGGAGACCAGAGTGTGTGGGTGCAAAGCCTTGGCTCCTCTGAAGGTAGAAACGTTCATCCAAGACTTCATGAGACAAATGTTAGAACGTACAATTAAAGGTCATTAAAGCTGGTTCCACTGGCTGAAAACAGCCAGAAGATGGAGCCATACTGTAGAACAGCTTATTAGCAGGGATGGCTCCATACAACTTTTCCATGTCCGATACCCAACACTGATATCAACCCAATACCTTCTTTTCTGCTCCAGCATGTGTCAGGCTGTTACTGCTGTTACTGCTGCTGCCGCTGTTACTGCTGTTCCTACTGTGTCTGCTGCTACTACTGTTACTGCTGCTGCCGCTGTTACTGCTGTTCCTACTGTGTCTGCTGCTACTACTGTTACTGCTGCTGCTGTTACTGTTACTGCTGCTGCCGCTGTTACTGCTGTTGCTGCTGTTACTACTGTTACTACTGTTACTGCTGCTACTACTGTTACTGCTGTTACTACTGTTACTGCTGCTACTACTGTTACTGCTGCTGCTGTTACTGCTGCTGTTACTGTTGCTGCTGCTGTTACTGCTGCTGATGCTGTTACTGCTGTTGCTGCTGCTACTACTGTTGCTGCTGCTGCTGCTGCTGTTACTGGTGTTACTACTGTTACTGCTGTTACTGCTGTTACTACTGTTACTGCTGTTACTGCTGTTACTGCTGCTGCTGCTGCTACTGCTGCTGTTACTGTTGCTGCTGCTGTTACTGCTGCTGTTACTGCTGCTGCTGTTACTGCTGCTGCCGCTGTTACTGCTGTTGCTGCTGTTACTGCTGTTACTGCTGTTACTACTGTTACTACTGTTACTGCTGCTGCTGCTGTTACTGGTGTTACTACTGTTACTGCTGTTACTGCTGTTACTATTGCTGTTCCTGCTGCTGTTACTGTTGCTGTTGCTGCTGTTGCTGCTGTTACTGCTGCTGTTGCTGCTGCTGCTGCTGCTGCTGCTGTTACTGCTGCTGCCGCTGTTACTGCTGTTGCTGCTGTTACTGCTGTTACTGCTGCTGTTGCTGCTGTTACTGCTGCTGTTACTGCTGTTACTGCTGCTGCTGAGCCAATAGTGTTCCCGTTTACAGCATGTTGAGAATTTGGCCTTAGGAATTGAATATCGAATGCAATGTTTTTTTTCTAATGTTTGATCCTCAAATTTTGATCAATATCAGACCAATACCAATCCTGAGTATCTGATCGAGACGTCCCTAGTTTCTACTGTCAGCGTCTTCAAGGCGTGTTCTACGGTGCGATACTGACATCTGGGTTGTGTTTGTTGTCACTGCAGGCCAAAGAAAGCATCGAACAGCTGGTTTATCTTTGTCAGACGGACAAGGAGGAAGTTCGAGAAGCTGCCAAACAAACGCTGCTAGTGCTGGGTAACAAACAAAAACTACTATACGAGTTATTATTATTAGAACTGTTAGATTTGGAGAACAAAAAAAAGGTTGTCCAATGAGAAACTGCGCAAACACACGCCCCCTAGAGGGTTGACTTTAATATTTCAGCTATAATTATGTGGATTTAATGGTGAATATGAATTTGTTTGTGCATCTACTGCTAACAAATCCAATCAGTTATTGTGAACATGAGACTAACATGACATGAATTTCCTTTTTTTACATTTACATCATTTACACCTACATTTGTTTTTACAAAAGACAATAAATGAGGCAGAGAGTTGGCATTCTGAACCCTCTGTGGAGATTCATTCATTCATTCATTCATTCATTCATTCATTCATTCATTCATTCATTCACACGTCTGTTTTCTTTTTTCATCTTATTGTTTTCATCATGTTAAACAGGAGAAGAAGGGAAGATGGCTCACAGACATGTGGAGACATCCATGGACTGCATCCCCAGACTCTTCGCTCCAGGCAGCATGGCCAGCACAGCGTTCTAAACGACACACACACACACACACACACACACACACACACACACAGACCTGCTGGAAGATTTATTAGAATTCACTTGGTTTGATTTTTTTTTAATGTTTTCAAATGCCAACATAAGGACAAGTATTTTAATATTCTTGTGATTCCTGTGATATAGTTCTAATTATCTGCGTGTCACTGTTAACTGAGTACTTTGAATTGTTATTGCTTTTTCTCAAATTCCGTGGGTCACATGTCTGGGTGGTGCAGTAAATGATACGTTTCTTTCAGTCCAAGGAACAAAGTCAGAAATAAGAAATGGTTTGTCAGCGACTCACACTGAGGTTCTGTAGGAAAGGACCGTTGGTTACAGTTACAGTTAGAACATGGTTCTGTTAGAGGAAAAACTAATGACAACAATTGATCTGGGATTCACTTTTCTTTTGATTTAAAATTGTAAACATTTCAGAGATTCCTCATTTGTAAGTGTAAATACAAATTAGTATTATTTAATTTTTCTTTTTCTTTGGTTTTAAGAAACGGCTGGACCACTCAGTTCTGCTGTACGTTAGCTTCACATTATCACAGTGGTTACTTAAAGGTGTTGTTTTTAAATCAGCTCAAATCTGTCACTGTTGTAAAATTAAAATCACAAACACTGATCTGTGTTTCAACGCACACAAAGAAATGACATCATTGGTTTCTTTCCTGCTGTCGTCTCAACCTCAGAATATCAAGTATGTAGAATGGGACCAGTATTTGTCTGGTCCTGGTGTACCATGTGCCAAACCAGACCTGGTCCTCAGTCACACTGCAGTGTACCCACAGATTACTTCACTACGATTGTGTGCAGAGGATCAGTCTTAGAATACCATATACACATATTGAATGGTGGAAAAGCAATGACACGACATCAGAAATGGCCGTAGTCGTCAGTAGACAGAGCAGTGCTTTGACAACGCCACATCATTGGAAGCTAAGAGTTTAAAACATCTATAAATGTATAACATCTGCAAATCTTCAAGAGTGTGGGATTTTAATCATTAGTTTTTCTTTAATCAAATATGATGTCACTGTGTGAATGAGGATCCCATTTAAAATGAACCAAACATTGAAGACAGCGACTGTCATTCATTACTGTCATACTTTACAGCCTGTTTTCCTCTAAACTGATCAGACGGCATGGTCTCTTAAAGACTAAAACCAGTGATTGAAGGAAATAATCTCAGAAATAACTCTATTTTCTCAGACCCCCCTTCACTTGGAGTAATTTTTGTTTCTAAATAAACAGTGGAGTACTTTGATGAGTACTTAAGGCCAGAGTTGACATAACTGTTCTTTTCTCCCAAATGGCTCAACTTCTGTCTTCTGTGGACAAAATTTAATTTTAGGAGGTTTTAAATCTGTATGATTTTATTTCTTCAATATTTGTCTGATGTATTAAAACTATTATTATTTTATTATTAAAAGCAATAAAATGATTATTGTTCTGTGTTGCTAGTGACTTTCAAATATTGCTGTCAGGCTGATCAGATAACGCGCTGCTCTGATGTTATGTTCGTGTTACTTTGAATGCACACTGACTGCGATTCATGGATTGTAAATAAGATGAGTTTCTATAGGACAGCAGCAATCGGCAACGGTGTTAAAGTGCCTCAAGGTGTAACCACTGAAGAGATACTACAGTGTATTTAAGAATAAAGCAGTGGAAGAACACTGTGGCACATTATACAGACAATGACATACATATTTTTTTTCTTTTACATGCTTAATATGGAATGCTATAAATGAAACATGTTTTTTTATTAAGTATTTCCAGGTATTCTGGTGTCAAGTGTATACAAACTTTATTAAAAATGAGTTTAAAAGTTGTCCTGAGTGCTAATGGTTCAGTTGACTTGTCACATATATATGTATCAAAAATAATCATAACCTGTTGTCATTTACTTAAAAGATATGTTAACTTTTTAATATCTGCATTCTTAAAAACACACCAATGCATTCTAATTATTAACTATTATTAAATATATTCCAAATTAGCCATGATGATACACATCTTCGTCAGCTTTTTAGTCAAAAATTCAATTTAACATGAACAGGTTGATATGTTAATTTTTAAAGAAATCACTACTTTAACATAAAATAAACATTGGAAAAAACTGTTTACTTAAATTATCCCACTGCAATTTTATCAAAATAGCTTTAGAAATAACTGGAAAAACAATGTCAAAACAGAAGTACAGTGATATTTACATATTATTGTTATTAACAATGTTATAAAAGAACAATCTTCAAATTCTGAACGTGTGTCAAATGGATTTCTGAGGATCCTCAAAGCACATCTCTACCATTTGTTTTCCATTCCAATGGTGATAAATGGCCATCGGTGTATTCCAGCGGGGGCGCCCCTCCTGGCCAATCAGGGTGAGTGCAGCGGCTTCGACACCACCCCCCAGCGGCCGCACAGGCGCACTGAGCGACCAACTGCCATTTTGTGGCAGAGGCTACTCTGCCAAAGCGGGAGAGGGATTAAAACAAACTGTGAGGAAGCCTTGCATTTGTTAGGAGCCTAACAAACTTTGTAGCAGTCACCCTGTGCTGCCTGTCTGCTTAAAGTGGAGACGAAAAACGCTGAAAAACAGGTAGAGTATCACTACTTTTTCTGATCAGGGGGGAGTTTGCAGGATCTTTAATCGGCCTCTAGGTGTCACGATGGGGCTCTGGGTCCGGACAGCTCGTCGGAGGGTGTTTGTCTCCCTCTATCGTTATGGAAAATGCCGTCAAAATACGGTTAAAAGCGACAAGTTCTCAGAAATGTACACACAGATCGTTGTTTTTCGCACACGATTGCAAAAAACATAGCCGAGAACTAATTATAGATACTGAGACAGTTTGATTGTTGAATTTAGGCCGAGGCGTCCATTTTCTCGCTTCTTTGTTTCCCGTCTTTACGAGGAAAGTCGCGGCTTTAAGTGTTAGCATAAGGCTAATGACATTAACGTAGGCAAACTGATGAAGTACACTCAATTCCACCGAAGCCATTAAGGGTAATCATGCGATATAACGTCACCTTGTTGATTTGTATCTATGTATTTGTTTTAAGTTTTAAATTCACGATTTAGTTTTTCCCCCGAATTGAGTTTTAAGGCGGATGTTAACCAGCAGTTAGCTCACACTGTAGGCCCCGTCTCCCCCTTTCTACACAGCAACGGTGCTCAAACACAAATCTTTCAAAGTGTAAACGTCCATTTAAAATGTTTAAAGCGAACTTTAAACATTTGCCGGCGATCGTGGTGAAAAATAACCCCCGATAAAACACACGTGCCCAAAAGTCATGTAACGTCAGCACGACTGCAGAAAAAAATAACGACGGCTTATTGACAGCAAAGCAATACGTCCCCGGTATACGGAAACCCAAACGCCTGGTCCGTGGTTCTTCCGAACATTGCCTCCTTCTGTCATCTTGTGTCTTCGGTTTTGCTTTGTTTTTTTCTTCCGTCGTTGCAGTCGTGCGGTTGTAAATAACAGTAGTGTTTTGCAGGCGTGAGCCGCGCTGCTCTCTCCTCTTATTCTAAGTCCAGTCTGAGCCGCAGATGTATGTTATAGAAGAGAGCTCCCTCTACGATTCGGCCTAGAGAGCTACAAAAATACCGCCGTGTAAATGCAGTGAAGTAGGGGACAGTCACTAGACTGGTCACTGACTTGTTTTTACCACGATCTGCCACTAGTCCAGAGCCACTAAATCACAAAAACTCTACTACTGAACACAAATAAGCAACAGATCACGAACACAACTGGAAGTTAGGCCTGGAAATAGATGGATTTATCAGCTGTTTATCAGGCCATTCACTAAGGCTGCTATTGGTCATTACTTAACTGATTAATTTGGGCTGATGTCAGAAAACGTACTCATCAAATTGTGCCCTTTTGTAGTAACTTACAGTAAGCCATAAACTATAAGTAAAACATTTTTTGCTAATATTGTGGTTTTATGTCCTTATCTGTCATTAAATCGTTGAAAAGAAAATTATTTAATTAATTATATTATATTTAATTAGTTATATTTCAGTACAACAAAATAAATATAAACCCTAAGCTATAAAATACATAATACATTATGTAACTGAGTATTATGTTTTGTTAGTCAACAACAGCCAGACCCCAGATTCACACATTTGTGGTAATGTTCTAAAACATTTTTTTATTGATAATAACGTGTCTTTCCATGGGTAATATCATGATATAGTTTGTCATCGCTATGGACGGAGGGCCAGTAGATGGCGTAGGTGTGGTTGAAGTCCCCTCCATCCAGGATGTTCACAGCCAAGAGGCCATGGTGGCTGACCTTCTTCAGCAGGCGGCTGAAGCTGGTGGAGTGGTGCAGGGACAGGCTGGGGTTGTCCTTGATCAAGGTTTTTATAAATTGGTTTTATTTTTATGTAGATTTGTTTTTTATTCTTCACAACATGTAGAGAAAAAAACCAGTCCTAGATTCTGTCTCTGTTGGCTGTCCTGGTTCAGTGGGAGCTGCACAGGCTCAACATCAGCTGATGGAGGCTGGGGGGGGTGGTTGGGGTGGCTGGAAAAGGGGGGGTGGGGGGTTGAGATGATGGTTATGGACTCACTGGATCCCACCCTGCTGCAGATGAAAACTGAGGTGAGCTCCGCTGCAGTCAACATGGTGTGTAGTTAAAGGTCAGCAGTTTGACCTTCATGTCATGTTGACCTGTAGGTGATGGACGCTGCAGTGGGACCACCAACAACAGCTGTGGGCGTCGTCGGAGGGGTGCCAGGTACCGCTCACCAGGCCACTGTAACAACAGTGGACCAGACTCAGATCATCACACTGCAGGTAGGTGATGTGACTCTTACTGGTTGAATGTGAAAGCTGGATGTACACACTGTCCCTAAAGTGCACGTCTCCTCCTCCTCCCGCCTCCTTTTTTCTGCTCTCAGGTTGTAAACATGGAGGAGCAGGCAGCTCTGGGTCTGGGGGAGCTCCAGTTGGTCCAGGTGCCGGTTTCTGCCACCACAGTGGAGGCTCTGCAGCAAGGCACTTATGTTGACACCACTGCAATGTCAAAGGACGGCGACCCAGTCATCTGCCACACACTGCCACTACCTGAGGGCTTTCAGGTCAACATCCATGCTAGTTCTTCTGGCGTTAACCCTTTATTTGCAAATAAATGATTCAATAGTTTAACTAAACACTATTTTAACCTTATTATTTATCTTCTGTGTAGGTTGTTAAAGTTGGTGCTAATGGTGAAGTGGAGACGGTGGAGCAGGAAGAGGATGGAGCAGAAGTCCAGCCTGATGAGGAGGATGAAGATGAGGAGGTCGGGAGCCAACTCATGGACGAAGGTGAAGACATTCCTATCCACACTCGAAATGAGGATTCAAGCTGGTCTAAAGACCCAGATTATCATCCTCCAACTGGAGCAGTCAGGAAAATCAAAAAGGTGAAGTAGGTGATGGGGTCGACTCTCTGAAGGTGTGATGACGTTTAATGATTTTTGGGTTTTTTTTCCCTTTAAAGGGTAAAAAGAGTCGCCTGCGTTACGCTGACGGAGATAAGGACATGGACGTCAGCGTCTATGACTTTGAAGAAGAGCAGCAGGAAGGCCTTCTGTCTGAGGTCAATGCTGAGAAGGTGGTGGGCAACATGAAACCCCCCAAACCAACCAAGATCAAGAAAAAAGGTCAGAAACAGGAGACATCACAGAAAGTGTCATCAATCACTGGGTTCCTAAGACAGGGTTTCCCACCCACGGCACAACATATACAGTACAACATCAGGAAAAACCCCAGGGCACGCCACCAAAAAAAACCAAACCCAAAAGTCTCTGTAATGAAAATTAATAATCTTCTAGTTTAAAGTACCTCATCAGTGACTGCCACCTCAGCCTGTTTAGTTGAAGACAACGCTGATATACTGGCAGGAATTGAAGTAAGACACTCACAAAGATCTTCTTCAACAAAGATCTCTTTTTAGTTTTCATAGCCCTCTGCTGCCCCCTGGCAGAAGAGGATTTAATTGTTCTGCCTTTCATGCTTTGACGAGCAAAGAAAAATGATATCTATTGAAAGATTCTTGCTGTGCGAAGAGTGGAAGCAGCTGGTAGATGGTCGATTCATTTTAATAGCAAAACGTCAAACAAAACAGGTCCAACAATAAAGCAAAATAAACGACTGGAGAAGTATTCGAGGAAATCTCGTACAACAGTAGTTAATCCTGTCAAGAATAACTTCTAAAGTATCATTAGTTGTTTATGCTTATATACCTGTGTGGGGGGAGTGGTTTTCGACTTCCCAGGTGTGTGTTTAAATCTTGTAGGCCAATGGAAGAGAGAGGCTAGGCCTCTTGTGGCCAATAAAAAATTATTGTTCTTGTATCATGTGATACCTGCAGTCGCCACTATTTGGCACTGCTGTTCCATGATTCAGCAGTGTTGGAAGAACCTTTTGTTGCTGAGTGGGGGGGTTCCCTGTGAGGAGGTAGATTGGCAGATCTCCCATTGTTAGAAAGTTGGTGTGAAGAGAATTTGGGGGAATTCTCTTTGAATGTGTGGGGCTCTGTGACTGTTTGTGCTCGGGAAGGCCTAACCAAATGTGAAAACCACTGAAATCTAACACAATCAATCAATCAATAATAGTTTTCAGACCAATTAAGTGGTCCGAATAATAATTTTCCACAGCACACCTAACGATCTCTCACGGCACACTAGTGGGCCACGGCCCAGTGTTTGGGAATCACTGTCCAAATCACTGTCCAAAAACAAAATCAATAATTGCCTTTTTTCTGACTGACTCTTCTTCATCAGTTAATTAATGCTGTAGGTCATTAAGACACGAAGGTCATTTAGGTCAATGTTGGACAAATTTGTAGTGAAGGATTCAAACCCTAACCCTAACGTCATCCTGTGTGTCCTCCTAAATATTCTCAGGTGTGAAGAAGACTTTTCAGTGTGAACTGTGCAGCTACACCTGCCCTCGTCGCTCCAACCTGGACAGACACATGAAGAGCCACACGGACGAGAGACCCCACAAATGTCACTTGTGTGGAAGAGCCTTCAGGACGGTCACTCTGCTGAGGAACCACCTGAACACACACACAGGTACACACCGCTGTTCCCAAAACAAGTCAATGTCCTAAAAGTGATGGATTTTTAAAGAAACATGTAAAAATCTGCAGGAACTCGTCCACACAAGTGCACCGACTGTGACATGGCTTTCGTGACGAGCGGGGAGCTGGTCCGCCACCGCCGCTACAAACACACACACGAGAAACCCTTCAAATGCTCCATGTGTGACTATTGCAGTGTGGAGGTAGAAAGTGATTCTTATTGTTTGATGTAAATCTGCTTCAAGTTACTGAAGAAGATCACAGACAAGACTGTTGTGTTTGTAAAGGTGAGCAAACTGAAGCGTCACATCCGATCCCACACCGGCGAGCGTCCGTTCCAGTGCAGCCTTTGCAGCTACGCCAGCAGAGACACGTACAAGCTGAAGAGACACATGAGGACACACTCAGGTGGGACTGTGTGGCAGAATGAAGGTAAATGTCCAAGAGACGAGGAGATGAAAACTGAAACTGTACATGTCAAACCTTCTCCTCAGGAGAGAAACCGTACGAGTGTTACATCTGCCACGCACGCTTCACCCAGAGTGGGACCATGAAGATGCACATCCTGCAGAAACACACAGAGAATGTGGCCAAATTCCACTGTCCACACTGTGACACAGTGATTGCACGCAAGAGTGACCTGGGTAAAGTACACACACACACACACACACACACAGGTTTTGTGTGCATCATTCTCATGATCATTTTTCCCGTGCACAGGTGTCCACCTTCGAAAACAGCATTCTTTCATTGAGACGGGAAAAAAGTGTCGCTACTGCGACGCCGTTTTCCACGAGCGCTACGCTCTCATCCAGCATCAGAAGTCCCACAGGAACGAGAAGCGCTTCAAATGTGAACTGTGTGACTACTGCTGTCGTCAGGTGGGGGCTGCGTTTCCAACTCACCTCTGTGTGTGTGTGTGTGTGTGTGGACAGTCGGTGACATCACTCACTGCAGCTCTTTGCTGCCTTCATTAAAGACAAACCTGTCTGATTGGCTTCTGTTGTGCTTCTGTGTTGGGAGCAGGAGCGCCACATGGTGATGCATCGCAGAACTCACACTGGAGAGAAACCGTTCGCCTGCAGCCAGTGTGACAAGACCTTCAGACAAAAGCAGCTGCTGGACATGCACTTCAAACGCTACCACGACCCCAGCTTCATACCCAACACCTTTCTCTGCCCCAAGTGCAACAAGACCTTCACCCGCAGAGTAACTAACCCTTCTGTCACAGCATCAGGCTTAGTGTTCTTCACACCTTCTTACCTGTTCTTACCTGATCTTCTTCTAGAACACCATGGCTCGTCACGCTGAGAACTGCAACGGTGACGAGGAGGAAGATGAAAACGGAGCTCTGACCCCAAAAAAAGGGAAAAGAGGAAGAAAGAGGAAGATGAGGAGCAAGAGAGATGATGATGATGATGATGATGACAGCGGTGAATATTTTCCTCCTTTGTTTTTTTTTTTTTTAATCCATCATGGATTTATCTGACGTTTCTTTCTCTGTTTTTCAGAGGAGGATCAAGTTGAACCTGATGAAGAAGACGAGGACGATGTTGATGAAGAAACATCGCTGCTACAGGATGAAGAGGAGCAAGAGGGCATGGAACTTGATCAGGCGCCAGCCATCATCCCTGTGCCAGCCCCCGAAGAGCCGCCAGTCAAAAGGAAACGAGGCAGACCACCAAAGAACGCCCCTAAACCCCAGACAGCCAGCAACAATGTGAAGGTCAAGACGACGGCTCCTGGTGAGGAGACGGAGAGAAACCCTAACCTTGGTCTGTCAGTGGTGCCGTCACTGACTGTCAGTGGTGCCCTCTCTGTCATAGAAATGTGTTGTGAAGTAGTTCTTTCCATTTGTGAGTGAAGTGTTTCTGTGAATTTACTGAAATCCTGAGGCTGATTTGACTGTTTTTTTTTTCTCCTCCAATATTTTGTTGTTGCAGCTGCTGCCATCATCCAGGTGGAGGACGAGAGCACAGGAGCAGTGGAGAACATCGTTGTGAAGAAGGAGAATTGTGAGCCAGAAGCTGAGGCGGCTCTGACGACGGAGGGGGCGGAGCTGAACAGTCAAGGGGTGGAGACCGTTGATGTGCCTGTACACGAAGGAACCACAGCAGCAGCTGCTGCCGCGGCCAACGGTGATCTGACGCCAGAGATGATCCTGAGCATGATGGACCGGTGAACGCAGCAGTGCAGACAGAGGACACAAATGTAGCCAAGTCCTGTCTAAAGCTAACGTTTCTACATCCAGGCGTTCACCTGATGTTGTTCTTTATGAGCTTTTTCACTGCAGCCGTTGGAGCAGCTGCCTTTGACAAACACATCATGCACAGAGAAAGAAGTTGCATGGTAATCATCGCCGTCAGACACAGATAATAGCTATAATAACTGTCTGTTCACCACTGTTTTCTGATCGTAACACACACTTCATGTGTTCACACCCACTTCCTGTCCCAGTTCTTACTCACACCCTGAGATATGGTATAAGAATTGTTGCAAAAACAAACTTTCGACATCTTTGGGACTATGCTAATTTAGCGATTGAAGGCTTTGTTTTTCTTTGTAAATAGATATATTTTTTCCAAATGAAGACATAGTTTGTGATAATTTAAGTTGCCTCTAAAATTCATTTTTCTTCTTTTTTTTTTTTTTGACTTTTTTTTTTTTTTTTTGACTTTTTTTTTTTTTTGACTTTTTTTTTTTTTTGACTTTTTTTTTTTTTTTGACTTTTTTTTTTTTTTTGTCTGACATTCTATGATGTTCAGTGATTCTGCAGTGAACATCATGAACGTGTGTAACTGTTGCTGTTTCTGCTGTGTGTTGCATGTTGTTATTATGAACCAAGATGAGTCAGAGGTGACGTTAAACAGCGGCGTTCTGATGGAAACCTAACTTTACTGCACAGCCTAACATTATTAACGAGTTGAGTGACTTGACTCATGCTCCATTTTTACTGCATTTCAAGTCATTCATATGAGAAACTGTACTTGTTTCATATTATGACATCAATAAAAATGTACAACCCAGGAAATGTGATGTTTTGGAGCCGACAGTGGAACGATGAAAGTCAACTGAAGACGGACTGAAGACCGTATTTAAAATAAACAGTTACAATTTTATTCATTTAATTTCGAAAATTCTTGCTATTCTTACAATTAATCCGTGTGATTGCACTGTTGTCTAGTTTCTAGTGAGTTTTAATGCTTGTTTGGTGCCCTCTGGTGGTGAATGACATAAACACACTTTCTTCGTCTTTGATTACGTATGCGTTTTGTATTAAATTGTCTCCAAATGAAGTGACGGGAGAAAAAGTCACAGCTTTAAGCCGATATCATGGCGGATATTTTATTATAGTCATAATGTTGAAAAAAATAAAACCGTGTTCACAATTTCACACAGCTGCTTCAGTTTCACCGAGCTAAGTTCCCAGAATCCATCTGCACTTTCACTCACAAACCCACCGCACACACCTGCAGATCATCACACATTTACACACAGACAAAAGCTGTGTCTCAGTGTCAGGTCTGAAGCTGGAGGCTGCTGCACCTTTTTTTAACTAGCGCCACCATGGGGATGTGTGGAGGTGTTGTCTACAGTGACTCCTGTAAACGGACCATAACAAGTGAGCTGCAGCAGATGGATGGATAACGTCAATAATTCATCAGACAGTCATCAGACCAGGGCCAGGTACAAACCTGGACCGCCATCACCATTCACCATCACATTCACACCATTTTAGAGTGAAACCTTATCTGATGTGAGGATGAGACAAACATCCCACAGAAAGGAGGCAGGGATCGAACCTCTGATGTTCTTGTGTGTAAGGCAAGATCATCAATCACTCCATCACCTCATGGCCCCATTGCAGGTTAGTCTTAATTGTTATTTTGTGAAATAATTATTTTATTACGAGCTTTTATTTAAAATGAGACAACAGATAATTCTAGAATTTATTTATTTATTTAATTACTATTTTGACCATGTCCTCTAACCGTTGTCACAGGTCAAAGCTTCAGAAAGCATAAAAAAAGGCACAGCCTCAAGTCAGTCAAGATTAATTTTACATTCTTTTTCTTCTCACTTCATTCAAATGTGACATACTTGAACCGCAACCATGAATGTGGCTCACTTCCTGACCGTGGTGCTGACTTTTGTCGTTGTAGAGTAGTTGAAACCAGGTCACCGTTCTGTATTCACTACAGTCGTGGCTCACAACCTGGAACAGGAAGTCATCGCCTTTATAAAACAAAAACAAAACACATATATGTGGTAGAAGGTAGTCGGACGTTTGTGCTCCTCCCCCAGCTCCTGCTGCTCTGTCCATAATTTCAACAGATTTTTCTCACAGTTTCATTTCAACAAGTTGAAGTCACTGAAGGTTAGTCGTGATCCTGGAAGAGTTGGTCACCGTGACGACAACAGAATGAACTCTGTCTCCCGGAGCCTGCAGGGTAAGTCCTGACATCACAGTGTCGTGTCTCAGATGTCTCGAGCTCATGGTACAGTATCTTAACTTACATCCTCTCAGATACTAGCTCCTCAGGCCATGCTGCTAGCATGTACTCAAATGAGGTTAAAAGCAGGGTGTGCAGTACAATTTTAGTTCATCAAGCTCTCGACATAGAGTGTGCCACAGGGCTCCGTTTTAGGACCTTTTCTTTTTGCATTTTATCTAAAAATTAGGGCTCATCTTTACACATCTTTATGCCGATGATACAATTGTTTATTGTTGAAACAAAGCGGTTTCTCAGGTCTTACATCATCCACTGACTGCACATGTGAAATCCTCTGAACATCTGCAGATCTGAACCGATATTAATCTGTTGAAAATGCTTTAAAGAAAATGGAACAATAGTGGAATAACGTTTTAATGAAATGTCTAAGACTTACTTTACAATTTTGACGTTGATTTAATTTCTTGTTGCATCCAATATGTTGAAGGAAAAACGTTTGTTTCATAGTTCAGTCACCGTTGGTATAAAAAAAACAAGTTTTACAACAGGAAAAACCTGACATTTTCTATAAGAGTGGAAAATGTTTTTGTGATTCAGAGGTGAGACGTGTTTATGCTGAGTCATACGTGTAGCTGAACCGAGCGTTCCTGACGAGAACAGACTGAGTGATGCTCAGATTCTGATCTTCACTGCGTCACACCTTCCACAGCTTCACTTTCATTTGTTGCTTAAAGGTTCGCAAATGCCTTACATGAACCGATTGTTGAGCCACACTGTTTCAGTAACGGCAGACACAGAGACGTCTGAATTCAGTGTCTACCGTGGGGGTTGTGGTCCAAGACCACCCTCTATAGGTGAAAAACTACAAAGTAAAGACGCGATAGAGCGAAAACAAGAATACATTTCAAGTATTAAAAACCCTCGACGCACTGAGGGCACAGTGAGGGGCGACTGTACACCTTTCCTCTGACCGAGCTCTTTCCTCTGACGTTGTGCAGATCAGATCTCTGAGCTGCTGAAGCCCCACAGAGTGTGTCTGGTGACCCCTGTTGTCTGGAACCAGGGTCAGTCATGTGGCCGATCAGGCGGCAGGTTCATGGTGAGTCACAGATGATGAAGACGTTTCACCTGCTTCCATGTCTAGGGTTAAAGATTAAAGAAATAAAACCACTTTTAGACAGTGAACAACAAAGAGTCAGTTCAAATAATAAAAAGTTAGGAACTTTAGATGAAGCATTTAGAGAAGTAACAAATACTAAACCAACAGTAAAACAATGAGCAGGGAAGTGAATCAGTGATTTTGAATCCAAAATGGGCCACAGACTAGTATTCAGTGGGTCGTGGGCCTCTGCCAAAGCCAAAGGATCTGAAGACAAAAACAAAAACACGTCATGTTGTTTTTCTCTGTGGTAGGTGCTGAGTCTGTGGAGAGGTTACCTGGTGGTGAACAAGCAAACTGTCAGGGTAAACACTCAACTTTTCCCTCTCTCATTTCTTTCTGCACGTACTCTGACCACATTTTACAAATTAGCCATTGAACAGTTACAGTCATTCGTTTGGTGTCGTTTGTAGTGTATTTCTTTCAATGAGAACTCGTCGAGTTTTGTAATCATCATAAAAAAGTCAAAGAAACAGTAAAAGCTTCACATTTCCACTGTGGGTGAAAAAAGAAACCACAAAAAACATCCGTGACCCTTAAGCAGTATCTCCTTGGACACCTTGGGGGTCACGGACCCCCTGTTGGAAACCGGTGTGCCAAGGACATTTTGTACTTTTGTTGTATTCAGTGTGTGCAGGTGGAGAGCTCCTTCAGCTACCTGGACATCTGCTCCATCAACATCCACAGTCAGACGCAGGTACGAAGCCTGAACTACGTCACGTCAAATAAAACACTCGTGGCCGAGTGTATGTCACACACTTGTTTGTTCTGCAGGTTGTTTTGGAGACAGATAGACAGACGTTTTCCTTGAGCGTGCTGCACGCTGAGGACCTGGAGGCCATGGTTAGTCACATGACCGCGTCACTGAAGAGGATCTTCCCTGACTCATCTCCAGGGTGGGTCACACACATACACCCACCAACGGGTCCACACTTTGAATATTCTCTTTCTGGAGGAATCGTCAAACCAACATTTAGGCAAGAAACAAGTACGGTGGTCCCGATTGGCGAAAAACAACTTAACGAAACGTTTTTTTAAACTTTTTTTTCTTCTAAGGCTAGAAAATGACAACAATAATGAAAATATTCAAATCGTAAAAATACATACAAAATAAAAAATACATTTAAAACATTAAATGCACTGAGACAGCCGAGCGATGATACAGCGGTATTTCTGATTCTGATATTGTTATTATTTATTATTGTAATTCTCAAAGAAGTTCCAGAACGTTTCCTTCTGTCCTTCCACCGTCAGAAAGCTGTTGAAGACGATTCCTGCAGAGCTGCAGCAGAGACTCCTGAGGCTCACGGCTGTGATGGAGCAGCAGCTCAACAGTCAGACTGGACCCTGTGGTAAGACACAGTCATTGGTCAGTGACTGGTCAGTGAACAAGTTCGCCCCCTACAGGAAATGTGTGTGATGGTGGTTTTGTGTTTGTTCTTCAGGGGGGTTTTCTGACACCTACGCTGCCCTCTGTGATTTTAATGAGATGCCATTCAGAGAGGAGGTTCAGTGGGTATGTCACTGCAGTATAAGACACCGGCCAATCAGAGACCTCGGTGCTGACAGGCTGTGAATAGGATAAAATGTGTGCTCTGATTTAATTTAGTCTACTTTGACCAATTATTGACTGATTCTGACTGTGGTTGAAAATGATTCATATATTTAAATTTTATATATGAAATATTTTGGTCAAAACGTATTTTTATACTGTGTACTGCAGTATTTCTAGTTCCGATTTTCATTAAAGGACGGATCTGAACTTCTCTTATGGCTAAGGTTTGGCTAGTCTTTAGCTCATTTTTCTTTAACCATCTATTGATTGAAATTCCCTGCTATGTATTAGGCTGAAATGGTGAAATAATAATAATTCAGATCACAAGTCAACATTTTTCTTTTGTTAAGAAATGAACTCTGCATTTTTATCTTTTAGAATATCCAGAGTAAATTGAATCATTTTCAGTAGTTGTCGGTCCATTAACCTGGTCTGTTTCCAAACAGTTTCAACTCTTGGCAAAGTACTAAAATGTTAACTTGTGTCAACTTCTGTCAGGACATTGACAACATCTA